TCTGATTCTGATTCTGATATTCCTGTACAATTAATGTGAATGTATTTAACTTACAAAACTGTATTGCAAATAATTTCAGACACATGCAGTGATTGCAATGTGTGCAATGCATGTATTTTTAATCATAAGTTATATGTAATGTAATGTAAATTTGTAAAGCATGTATGTGTTTTTGTCATTTTATCATTTGTAATGCAGCAAAAACGTTTTTTCCAATCAATAACATCAGAATTACCACACTGTGACTGACTGTATTAACTAATGTATGCCAAGTCCCTGCAACAGTTGACCTTTATAAATTAATTGAACTAAATAAGCTGTCATGTGAAGTCTGTATGATTTGTGATTAATTGGCCCCAACATGCAAAAATACTTATACGGTTAAAAAATTAGAAGTAACATTTGAAGCTGCTGATATCAGTCATGCTCCTGAAAACACAGTTTTCAACAACAGAAGTTCTTGAATGAACTTATTTCATAACAGTTGCCGGTCACCATTCATAAATCTGCAACTGTGACACAAATGAAAATTTAATGTGAGTGAACTGCAGATTTCCATGTTAAATCAGTGGGTGTACTGCGACAATAGGAGCATTACAAAGTCTAAGGAGGCGTAGATGTCATAGTAATCTTAAAACTGATGACAAAGTCTGTGATCCTCTTTTGGTCAGCAGTCTATTGAAACAGACCAAATGTAATAAAATTTTGCTAAGCCCTGCTTCAGTTCAGTCCCTAGTGGAGTATCAGTCATTGTTCAGCGGCTCATGTCCCCCCATGGGTGAGCTGTGCTGAGGCATGCTGGACACTTGTTTACCCAGGATCCTGAGTCTTAAGGGCCAGCTGTGTGTGCTTGGGCTCACATCGCCTTTATTTGCTTTCGGATCGGCCCAAATGATGCAGATCTAATTCTACAGAGCTCCACACAGATTACACAACTGCTCCCTGCAGCAGTGGAGTTAATGGGATTTTAGTTTAATAATATTGAATAAGTGGAGCAGCACCTGTTGAACCTGATCTGAAGTCAGACCAAGTCTGACATTTCTTGGTATCTCAAACCTTGTCCATTAATAATTCCCCCTCTTCAATCCTGCATTTCAAAGATCTCAGGCTCAGACAACAAAGAGAATAGGAATTCCCCTTCAACTGAAAGAAACTTTTTGAGTGACTCCGCCATTAGAGCATCATTAAAGCTGATGCCGACATCGCTGCCCTGGGAAATGTAGAGAACAGAAATCACTGTTTTTAAGAGATGATCAACATTCAACAGACAAGAGCCGAAAGTACTTGCTTTTTGACTTAGCTTTATGAGGTAGAGGTCTGCAGGAGGAGATGTCGGGGGAGATGAAAGGGCCCGAAAGGAGGGAGAAGCTGTGTTTGCAGATTTAGCAGAGTTCAGTAGTCTGTTGTCCAGATCCGGGGAATGCTCAGCAGCTCCTTTTGACTGCCGCCTGCTTAATTTGTTGTTGTACAATGAGCCTGTGCACTTCTCCAAATCCATGTGCAGAATGCAGAAGGAGAGTCAATTATATCTGTATTAGCTGGTGTCGGCTAGACAATCCCTTTATACACACTCCCCAATCAAGTGCTAGTAGATGTGTTTGCCACGATGAATCCCCAACACTGAGTAGTCACAATGGCTGTTTGGGTGGCTTTTGCTTTGTTTCACATACTGTGGCCATTTCAGAGAAGTAAAGCAGAAAAGTAACAAAACAGGATAAACCTGTGTATAAATCTCATCAAAAAGCTGTAAAATGTGATCAGAAAATCTCTTTTAGTGACACAGTGGTGGAATTAATCTACGCACATTTACTCAAGTATTGAACTTAAATTTGACATACTTGTACTTTACATGAGTAATTCCATGTTATGCTACTTTATACTTCTGCTCCATTTAATTTCAGAGGGAAACATTTATTTGACGGCTTTAGTTACTTGTTACTTTACAGATTAAGATTGTACATGAAAAATAATTAAATTAGCTCCACGTTGACCGACTACAACAGCAAAAGGCTCTTTTTTATATGAATGAATCATTCATAATATTCCATTAATATATAATAATCAGCTCCGTGGCCATGGATTTTGGAAATAATGAAGACACTAATGCAAGACCCCAGCCCTATCTGTGAATGTTTTTAATTATTTAGTTTTTAATATTTTGTGTAACTTTATTATTTCCCAGCATTGAGGTCTAAATGCTATTTCAAATAATCAAATTCTGGTGGAAAATGCTAAATCATTTATTTATTTACACATTGATCTAAAACTACTTAAATATAAATATAGTGAGTCTAAAAATACTGGAATCAGCCTATAAAACATTCAAAATGTGAAAGTTTTTAAATATATATATATAGAAACTTACCCCCAGAGAATAGACAGGGGACATAACCTCAATGCAATAATAGTGTAGAGCAACATTCACGAGACAATCTTTCTACACTGAGTACTTTTACTTTTGATGAGTACATTTACTTAAGTAACATTTTTGCTGCAGGTCTTTTACTTGTAATGGAGTGTTTTTACAGTGTGGTATTACAACTTGTGCTTAAGCAGAGGATCTGAATACTTCCCAGATACATGATGACCATCAGGACACAATCATTTGATGTTCTGTTTCCAAATCAGAGACGACAGCAGGACTTCAAAGGTCCTGTTAGTACTGGTTGGTGCTCTGAGGTTTCTGAAACAAGTAAAGCCAGAATCCCAACACCAGCAGATCTAAGCCTCTGAGTAAAAGGACACCTGTGGCTGCTGCATTCACCTCCC